GGGTGGTGGAAAAAGAAATACAGAAAATTTACCATTTTCGTCTGACGGAGAGACATTTCCCTTCAAAAATTTTGAATGCAGCAGGCAACACAACAAGGAGAAAATGTATTGTCTGCAAGAAACACAAAAAAAAGGAGGGATACCTCATATGAATGTAAGAAATGCGACATAGGACTGTGTGTTGATAATTGCTTTGAGATTTATCATACACAAGTGAATTATTAACTTTAAAACTTTAAAACTTTAACAGTGGTAAATAAATAGTATATATAAAATAAAAAATGTTTGGATTCTTTTTAAAACAGACAAAGTAATAATAATTGTTTACTATGTGTACTATACACACACGCGAAGCGCTTCAACTTAGAACAGCTAGCAGTCAAAGGGTTAATGTCACGTGAAAATATTTTTTATGAAGATTTACTTCTTCTCTAGTTGTACCAGCCTTTTCTAGTTGAAACACCCTGTATAGAAGAGGGACTAGTGTCGTCAATGTTGTTAGAACATTTCTTTTTAAAAAGAAAAACTCGTTCAAACTGTTTCTTTAAAAAGAAAATGTGTTAAGAACTGTTGTCGATGCTTATACAGAGTGTTTCCAATGTCCCGATAGAACAACTAGAAAAGAAGTGAGTCTACGTTATGAAGACAAGGAGAAATAGTAAAATGTTTTCACTTAACAATAAGAAATACGTATTACTTGTTAAAACCGTCATTGTAGAATTTTGTAAAATTGTACGATTTTACTACTTTAATTAGTGTTTTTAACCTTTGCTAAAGATTTGAAAAATTCCGATGAGATGCTGGTCGAAGCCTCTACTTTAATGCACAATCTGGAGAATAGCCAAACCAAAGAATAATTGGTAAACGTAAGACTTGACATCGAACAGATGATAATAAATGATGATACAAAATAAATAATAACACAAATGAATGAGTGAAGAAACGAAAAGGTTTTCGTTTCTCTCGAAAATCCTCAGGAAAAATGATTTCATCAGTCCTCTATGAAATTGCAAATTATTTCTGCTCCCGAAAGTTTGATAATTAAATTCGGAAAGACCTTGTAATCTCTAGGAAACATTTTCCTAGCCAAGTATACAACTTCCCAGTAAGCGATTTTCGCATCTGCGTGTCGCCTATTATTAATTAACATCACAGTGGATAACAAATTTACGAGTGCGAGCCAATGCAGGTTGACGCGTGAGTAACGGGATTTCCAGCGGAATCATGAACCACACAGCAGTTTCGCAGCTGTTTCGCCGAGCACCAGGATACGCCCCGATCCTCCTGTTTCCTGTCCCGGCTAATCCACTTGGACCCAACGGGGTAGCTTCTGTCGAGCGTCAAAACTACTTTCCGCCTCGTTGATCACGTTCGATGTCGCGGAAAGGTGTTAGGCGCGCCTAGTCTCCGAGTCTCGAAAGCCTTCCCTATCCCTTTCTCTCCCCGCCAGTCCATCGTTCGAGTTTTCATCACGCTCGCTGGAAAACCCGAGTATATTCCCCGCGGTCAGCGCGGAGCGTTGGCCGAGAATTCGGATCGCGGCGGAAAGCGACTGGAGAAGTGGGAAAGTTGGCGCTGCTCGGCAACGAGTTCGCAACAGGGGAAGCGATTTCCTCGGGATTCGTCGGATTGAAAACGGGGGGGCGCAGGGCCTCCCACGGACGGCGTCACGCCACCACGAGGGGCAAGTTTTCGCGACTTGGCGGATTTCTTGGGAACTGGGTTGCCGCGAACGCCAATTCAATGGACTCGTTTAACCGTTACGCTCGCGAACGCCGAGCGAGTGAATTTCCCTCGCACAACGCCAATTACCCTGTCTGCAACTTCTCGCTCCGCCGAGCTCGTTGTTCGATCAGATTACCTTCCAGAACTGTACGCGTATCTCGCGGAGATACTTTCGTGCACGCGGAATTTTTCATCGGTTCCTCCCGCTGCTTGTTTTCTTCTTCGTTCGTTGTCTCGTTTCTCGGGCAAAGTTTGTAAAACAAATTCTCAAATTATTGATCAAAGATAGCTAATTCGCGGTCCCTATCCCTTTCACTGTAGTTTGCCTTAGAAGCGATTGAAAATGAAAAATTGTTTATACAGAATAATACAAGTAATTTTACACCGAAAAGTATTCGAAAACTTCATTGTTTCGTTGGAATATCTCAAAAACAGAATAAAAAAACAACAGTTCGTTTGATCAAAAGTTTGCTACCGAAGCAATTGAGAATTAAAAATTGTTTGTTTAGTAGTCAGAATAACACAAGTGACAAATAAAGCGGAGAAAGGATTGAATTTCGCGTTGTATTAAATTTTACACCAGAGGTGGCTAACTGGCGGCTTTTACCCCCACTTTCCCAATCGCTGGCGCTATCCCCTCCACTGTATCGATCTCCCCACTGCGTTGAGAGTATCCGCGGCCACAATACTCGCACTAGGTGTAAATATATATATAAGTTTTTTACTGTAGCTGTTAAAGTTAAAGGGAAAGTAATTTGTATGGCCCAGAATATGGCAGAATAGAGTGGGAACTAATTGCGACAGACTGAGTAGCTCCTTCGCCGCCTATGTCACTGATTATTGATATCACTATTATCGAATTCATACTACATAGTTAAATAAATATATCTTTGCCAATAACTCGTAACGTGATTATTTTATATTTATGTCAATTTATTTCGAAATCTCGATTTATTTGTATAGATCTTTTTATTCGTTCCATTCTGAAGAAGTCGAAACGTGCCACAAAGTCTTCAAGCACGTAACAGCGTCCCGTGAGAGAAAAAGAACTGATGTTGCTTTCGTAATTTCGACGGTCGGAAATCTTGTTTCATCGAGTTATCACTCGCAAAATCTTAACATCGTACGATCGGTCAGGCTATGATTCCACTTGCGAAAATAAATCGGGGAAAGAAGAATAAATTATTCGAGTTTGAAGACTTATCGAGCATATTTGAATTTAGCTAATTCCAGACGTGACTCGGAACTTCACTTCGAGCTTAAGTATCTTTAGTAGTACTTCTGGTATGTGTTTGGAATTGCAGGGATCGTATTTTATTCATTCTGAGCGGGCCAGAGGATAAATCGACCAAGCGACTCCGTCTCTAACCGGCGCGATCGAAGACGAATCGTCGCGAGATTACCAGGGGGAGGGAGGGGAGAAAAGACAAATTGTCCATTCGAAAAGGTTTAACTATGCGCGACAAGGGCAAGACGCGCATATCTAATCGCGCGGCAGCGAGACAGTTCCTGGAGGATCAAGCGGGATGGACGAGGGAGAGGGTCGGGCAATGTTAGTCGGATGTCCAAATCGGATTAAACGAAACTAAATGGGATAGTGGATTGGATTAAGTAACTGTCGACCGGGTCCCGGAATCGGGTGCTACGAATTTAATCGGACGTTCCTCAGTGAACGACTCATCGATATATAAATCGGGGAAAAAGTTCTTTCTCTTCTCCTTGTCTCTCTTTCTTGGGGGCAATCTACGTTAATTCAAAGCGAATTAACCTTCTTAACTTAAGCTTTGATCCTCGTTGATCTTAAGTTAAGTAAGACGTTCAAACGTCACGCGCCTTTCACGAATTTTAACATGCGCGAAGACGTGTGTGCTATACGATTGTTGGCGCAAGAATACATCAAACATTCCCGAGCGCTGAGTCATGGCTTAGACGAGAGGCTAATTGGCGGCTCTTACCCCCACTTTCCTGACCGCTAGCGCTATCCCCTCCACTGCGTTGAGAGTGTCGCGGCCACAATACTCGCATTAAAGGACAAAATGGACAGAGTGGGGACTAATTTTCATGGTGGGGGGACTGGCAGACTGAATAAGCAGTCGGGAAAAAGTTCGCCGCCTCTGATTTAGATAGTGGTTCTTGTTTTATTTTGGCAATTTAAAATATAAAAACTCTATCAGATTATATTGTGATTGCATTACTAATTTTTTATGCATTGTCAAATTAATAAAAGCGTGCAATCAACTCATATCAGGCAGAAAGAATCTCTAATACGAGGAGGTAGGTGGTTTTATAATAGTAAAGATGACAATTATAATTATAGTTTTTTTATTCCTTTGAAAATTGGTAGGATGCGATAGTTATATAAATTAAGCGTAAATATTTGATAATTCTAGTTGCACTTCAAATGAAATAACAACAAAAATAAAAATAAAAATCATTCATTCTTACATTCTCATTACAAGAAACAATGTTTATATACATTTTAAATAAATAAAATTAAGGCACAGATTATAAAGGCATAAAATATTTCATGCAGTGTTTCGTTAAAAGTTGTATTATTCTTGTAGTTAAGCTTCACTCTAGATTTCAGGAAAATCAAGATGATAAAAGTGAGCTTACAATTTTAAAGATATATAATTCATAAATTGTACAATTATCTTTCAGAAATTAACGGAATGCAATAGAATTTTTGTAAAGAAACTTTTGTAACAGGTCAGTTTTAATTAATCGACTCGCAATAGAGCCTTAATTAGGCTACTGCCAGGTGCCTGAGCCTTCACGTTTAAACGACGGTGCTGCACCAGTTACAACGTTCGTGTAAAGATGAAGAGCACCTCTTACCCTGTAATATTTCAAACTTACCCATATTCAGAACCCTTCTCATATTACGCGACTTTCCACTGCTCTTTGAGGAGGCTCGTCGGAGATGTTTGCTTCCCCAGAAAGAGAAGTCGGAACGGAAGCTTGTATGTACGTTTGACGAGAGACATGAAACGCCAGAGAGCGGAGTTGCTCGAACAAAGGGAGCGTTAAGGACTATCAAAGAATTTAGATGATAATTACTTGTAATTTGAAAATCTTTCTAATACAACGATTAATTAATAATTAATTTCAAGCGATATAAATAGTAGAAAATTTAAATCTTAATCTATTCTTGATAAATTAACCTAAACAAACAAAATGTGAAA